GCTGAACCTGTATGTGTTCATGCTTTCAGATGCTCCTCTTTCTTGACTATGTTTACTTTTGCAACCTCTTCCCTTTTCTAATTTGCTGTTTTCCTCATTTTCTCTTTGTTTTTCTTATTTCCTTGACTTCTGTCAACTTTTTTGTTGCATTGATTGTGGCATCCTATTCACAAGCCACTGGTGGTGCCTTATGTCTCTCTTTGTGCCATCTATAGTCCTATAGCTCTTGAACAGTTGGGTACAAGGTAGGTAGGCTGATTTTTGGCCCTGTTCTGTTTTGGGCTTTTTACTTCTAAGAGAGTTCAAGAGCAGCATTGCCATTCCTTGGTCCATGCTGTCCGGCTGGGGAAGCTGAGTACAGACGTGATCCCAAGTAGACCCATTCTGCAGTGGGAAACACCAATCTTTCTCTGGTCTCCTCCCTGCAGGGACTGCATCATGCTCTGCTTCCTGAACAGTGCCACCAGCTTCGTTGCTGGCTTTGCCATTTTCTCTGTGCTGGGCTTCATGGCTCGAGAGCAGGGTGTACCCATTGCAGAAGTGGCTGAATCAGGTAGGTTTTTCCAGGATACTTCAGAGCCAAGGCAAAACAGAAAACCTGACAGGGAGGGGACTTTTCTGAAGTGAAGCCTGGGATGTTATCTACGTTCTCTATCACTGTGGGTGTCTGTGGCAAGGTCTGCAGGACCAGTGCTTCCCAATGTGGCTTTCAGCCCTGAGTGGGCAGGGAGTGGTAGTGGGGTGAGCTTTGAAGCAGTATGTGAGCTCACTCTGTGCTGCAGGGTGGTGGCAGCAGGCGGTGGTGTGGGGGGCACTCGTGGTCATCCTGCGGTCTGTTGGCAGGTCCTGGCCTGGCTTTCATAGCGTATCCAACGGCAGTAACGATGATGCCTGTGTCTCAGCTCTGGTCCTGCCTCTTCTTCCTCATGTTGATCTTCTTGGGACTGGATAGCCAGGTACAGCAAACACACCCTCCTTGTCTAACACCCAGGTGCCTGTCCCCACCCTGAGCACTCCCCAAAGCCATGGGAAAGAATAAGGTGGTTATGTGCTTTGCTGGTACCTCAAATATGTTCTCCACATTGTCCACAACACTTTCACAGTGTGGAAGCTCACAGCCAGGGCTGATGGGAGGCCAGTGATTATGTGTGCTAGCATCTCTGTTTGGCATCCTTCTCCCTGCGTATACGTGAGGATGTCCCAGCTACATCCCCTCCCCCCTCTGTGCCAGCACCAAAACCTTGCACACTGCGGTGTGAGGCCCAGCACAGAGCAGGTCAGTCTGGGAAGAGGAATGGGGCTGTTTTCTCCCAGCTGCATCTCACCAGAGCAATCCCTGTGCGCTCTCCTTGCTGGTGTACCCATCTCTTACCCTCCCATACCCCTGTTATGCCAGGAGCAAAACCCAGCAGAGCACCCTGCAGAGTACAGTGTGCAACCCTGGCAAGCCAGCACGAGGGGAGCAGGGGGGGTCCGCTTTGCAGAACCTCAGATCCTGCGCCTGGAGAATGAGGTCTCTTTCCTCTGTTTCTCTGGGTCGAGGTCCCCTCCTGCCTCATCTCGCTTACAGCTCTGCCTCATGCTGGCTGGGCTGTCCCAGCAGTGGCTGATGTTCTCTTATGCATCCCATGGGTGATGTACACTGCAGGACTGAGAGCCATGTGGTGATGAGCAGGCATCCTGCCTAATGGTCAGCCCTGAAAGCCAGCAATTCACCTGAGGGACCCCCGGCCACCTGCTCTACTGGGTTGTCCCAGGCAGTTGTGGCGTATTTTGCAGCCAGTCCTGCTGTACGAGGGGTGTGCTTGATGTTGGGGTTGAGCTGTGCCCTCATAGTCACTTGGCTCCCCTTAGCTTCACAGTGGCAGGGAGAGCTCCCCTCTGTCACAAGGGTTCCTTGTGCCATCTCAGGTGCTTCCTTGCCCTGCTCGAGGGGTGCAGTCTGCCCCTTGCCTCCCTACCTCTTGGTCATTTCTGCTGTTCAGCAGTGTGCTCTGTTGGGTTTGAGGCAATCCATCACACATCTCACAGGTCATCCTCCCAACAAGGGGCTGTACTTTTAAACCCTTTGGTCTGCAGCTCCAGAGGAGACCTCACTGATATACCAAGCTGTGTTTGGGTCCCCAGCAGTTGCAGCTGGCCCTTGGGGAAGCAAGACCGACAAAAAGAGAAAACAAAAAAATAAGGATTTGGGTGGCTGGAGGAAAAAAGGACAGTGAGAGGGAATGTGTGCTTGGGGAAGGGGAGACACTGTTTTTTCTAACCTGTCTTCTTCTGCAGTTCATCTGTGTGGAAAGCGTGGTGACAGCTCTTATTGACATGTACCCGGGAGTGTTTCGCAAGAAGGGGCGTCGGGAGCTGCTGATCCTGGCCGTTGCAGTCATATGCTACCTGCTGGGCTTATTGCTGGTCACTGAGGTAAGAAAGGAGTAGCTGGGGTACAGCCGAGCACCAGAAACCCCGCTAGACTGCTCTGGAAGAGTGGGCAGAGAAAGCAAGCTCGTCTTTGATGCTGTTAATTATCCTTCATTTCTAATGCATTACATGGTGTCTCTCACAGCCAGTGCTGCTTTTACCCTGCGTGATGCTAGTGTACTCACTGCATAACTGAGCCTTCCAGAGAGACGGTCCCGCAGCCCAGAGAGGCTGCCTGACATACAGCTTTGTGTAAATACCAGGCCTGGTGGCTAAAACAAGCTGAGCTGCACAAGCAGAAGCTCTTCTAAGGGCAGAGAGCGTTTGCTGGCTGCTTTCCACAAGAAGCAGAGCAGTGGGAGGGAAGGCTGGGGGTAATGGCTGCACTGTAACCCTGCCTGAGCCAGTGGGAAGCCGTTGATCCCTGGGACGAGAAGCAGCAGAGCTGTGTCGGTGCAATGCTATGCGCACAGTGTTTGCCCTGCTCTGCAGCTAATAGCCAAGCACCTCGTCCTGCACAGTGGTGTGCTGTGCTGTGCGTGCATACCGCATGCTTGAGCAGGGGTCTTAGCACTCCTCTGTGTTGCCTCCATGTGCTGTGTAGTGACAGCTAATTCCTGCTAAACCTTTTAGGCACTGCTGAATGATCCTCCAACAGGATCCTGGCTAAGGATTTGCTGAAGGCAGCTCCCACTGTGATCAAGAGAGCTTTGAGTGAAACTGCGTTAAAGGTTCCCATGGCTTTTGCATGGCCCCTTGCATGGAGGCACCTACTGCCATCATTGCAAGATGTCACCTCATACGTGGTGGGAAGAAGGAGTAACTGCTCTGCTTCTCTGGCAGCGTCTAGAGCCCTTCAGCACTATTTGAAAGCATCTGCTTGACTTGTATTGGAGGGGCTTTCTCTTTGAGAAAACACATGAAAGTATGAGAGAGGAGTCATCCACTGACCTGTAGAGGTAGCTGATGGCAACTATGCAGGGCTCAGCTCAAAGGCAGAGGCAGCAGGGAAGCCACATGCCTCTGCCATTGCAGGGCTTGGACCTTGAGCAATATGTAAAGATGGGTGCAGCTAAATGAGGTGTCTGAACGTCCTGATCCTCAGGATCCCAATTTCTTGGGTGCAAAAGTTCTGCACTGCTACATGGTATTTTGAAATAATGCTAGAAACTTGCTAACTGATTTAAGCAAACAAACTGGCTCCTGCTCCTGCAGACACAGAAGCCAGCCTAGCCCAGCAGTGTCATAAAATGGGCATGAAATGCTCTCCTGTCACCAGGCCTGACTGTCTTTTTGGGACAGAGTGTGGGCATCTCCAAGAGAAGGCTCTTCTTCTCTCACCTGCTCTAGGTGCAGTGTTTCTGCTGCTATTCTTCTGCTTGCCTCAGTCATTTTTCCCTCACATGGAATAGTCCTGCCATGACTCTCTCTTCTCTACTTCTTCAACAGGGTGGGATGTACGTCTTCCAGCTCTTTGACTACTATGCTGCCAGCGGCACATGCCTGCTCTTCCTGGCCATTTTTGAAGTAATCTGTATAGGATGGGTCTATGGTAAGTGGAAGACAAAAACCTGTGTTGCTCTTTCTCAAAGCAAGGATGGGGGGTTGAGAAGTGGGAGTGGAGAGAAAAAATCCTTAGGGGGCAAAGAAATGCTGTAATTACCCTCTTTCTTGTCTGGTTTCCACTGTGTTTCCTTGCAACGTTTCTTAATTGCCCCACATTTAGAGTAGGAATGGTTTTTCTCTCTCTGAAGGTTCCTCATGTTGAACTACCTTACTGCTCTTCCCATCTGCCCTTTGAATTAGAAAATCAGCTATAGAGGAATGACTGCTGTTCTTTGGTCTCTGTTACTGTCTGCTTACATTGTGCCTTTAGTTTAGTCCTGTCAGTTAATTTAACACAAAATACTGGGATGCAGACTTGTTGTGTGTTATTTCTGTGATGATACATGCTTCCTGTTTGTGTGGGCTGTGATGGCACTCCTAAAAGAAATGGGAGAGGCTGCTTTGGCTCTCAGTGAAGTCTGTAACTAAACTACTCAGGAGCAGGATTAAACTGAGCTCCACGAACTATCAGAAGGAAACCAACTGCTTGTTAGTCTGTGCAGTAAGAAGAGGATCCTGTGATATCCTACGGGAGATCTCTTCCCTGCTGAATGGTGCTTGAGCACACAGGCTGCAGTTTGTCTCCCTGAAGCTCGTGTCGAGGCTGGTGGTTTTCGGGCAAAGGGTCTAGCTGTGTGTCATGCTGAGCAGCTGCTCTCTCTCCTTAGCTTCATGGAGCTACAGAAGCTCAGTACCTGTAAGGACTGTGCAAACCTATAGTAGATGTCAGCTTAGAGCAGACCCTCAACATCCCACAAACACGCATCTGCTGGCTCCTAGCTACGCCAAGCAGCGTGGCCATCCTAACCTAAGGAAAAGATTGCAGGCATGAGCATCATGTTGTGTCTCTTTCAGTGGCCAGGAGTGAATGCTCAGGAAGGAGTATAATAGCAGAAAAGTTAGCAATAATACTTTCTGCGAATATTCTTCCAGTTTCTAACAACTTATTATAGAACCAAAGAATGGTTTGGGTTGGAAGGGACCTTTAAAGGTCACCTAGTCTACCCACCCTGCCATGGGCAGGGACATCTTTCACTAGATCAGGTTGCTCAAAACCCTGTCGAACCTGACCTTGAACACTTGCAATGGTGGTACATCCACAGTTTCTCTGGGCAACCTGTTCCAGTGTCTCAGCACCCTCATTCTAAAAAATTTCTTCCTTATATCCAATCTAAATCTACCCTCTTTCAGTTTAAAACTGTTACCCCTTGTCCTGTCACTATGAGCCCTAGTAAAAGGTCTCTCTCTTTCTTACTTTATATATTGAAAGGCCACAACAAGGTCTCCCTGGAGCCTTCTCTTCTCCAGGCTGAACATCCCCAGCTCTCTCAGCCTTTCTTCACAGGAGAGGTGTTCCAGCCCTCTGATCGTTTTCACGGCCCTTCTCTGGACCCACTCTTAACAGGTCCATGTCTTTCTTGTGCTGGGGGTCCCAGAGCCAAATGCAATGCTCAGCTTGTTGCCCAGGGATTTCCAGAGCCAGAAGTAAAATCTATTTGTTTCTTTTCTGTTAATTTTTCCAGTTGACTCGGGTAAGCATTTATCATCCACAAAATGCTGCAGCAAGGAGCTCTCTCCATGACTTGGTCAGGTGTTGTCTGAGGCGTCACTCTCTTTTCCTTCTTTTGAATCTGCCACCTGCTAATTTCATTTGGTGCCACCTTTGTCTTATTTTAGAAGGGACAGCGAACAGTCAATCCCTGTGTGTTCTCTTTGGTGCTTACAGTTTTATAGAGGTTGCATTGTCTGTAGTGCATTTGCTGATGAAGGGGTTATCAGTTTCTCCAAATGCTTTATGTACAGCAGGAGCCAATTGCTAGTCTGGATGGACTCCTCTCTCTTACCGAAATGGTAGCAGGTCCAGCTGCTTGGGCTTCACCTCTGGGGAATACAAGAGAAGCAGATCTGTAAGAGAGATTTATTCTAGAGAGATGTCCTGCAAGGGAAGCTCACTTGAAAGCCTGCAATACAAGACCCTGGCCAGATTTTAATTTGAGTTGCCTTCTGCCCAGTCCCTGTAGGATTTACAGGGGGATGGAAATTCCCATCCATCTGTGACAGGCCTTCATCATCACCATGCTCTGTTACATTGAACTGAATTATCCTTTAATGTATAGAAGCCCTCTGCTGTTTTTACGGTCACACAGGCCACATGCCTTTTCCGACAACCCATGGAGAAGAGCAACGGCAGACAACGAGCAGCAGGAGAGGTGATGCTGCCCCAGCAGCCTGGAAGGGGGACAGAGCAGCTGGGGATCGGGAAATGGCCCTTTCCCTCACCACCATGGGTTCATTTTCCTCACTCAACACAGTGGGATTTTACCTTCTTGATGTTCTGCTTTCTATCCATTGGGCTGATTCTGGTCCAAAATGTAGTCAGAGGGCCAAGGTGAGGCATCTTAGTGAAAAAAAAAGTGCCTGGTGCCAATTAATGTTTTTTTTCCCAGTCTCAGAATTGGCAGGGATGAGCCTCTTGCTTACACTGTGAAGAATTACAGCATTTTTGCTAACACAAATATGCGTTCTGAGTTTCCCCTCTCCCAGCACATACGCCAGCCACCCACCACTTGGCAGCTTCCCTCTGCTGCCAGGCAGCTGCTCTCACAAAGATCGCAGGATTTCCTCATGTACTGCACTCTGCCTGTGAAAAGATCGCGCGGCATCAGACCTAGAGGGGAGTGCTGGAAGGTTTTGTCTTTTTTTTTCCCCCCCCTTCTCCTCTCTCCCTTCCACTTTGGGACAGGCAGCCCTCATATAAGCAGGCATGGGTTTTGAGCACTGGGATTCACAACATGATGCCACTGAAACGTGCTGCAGGGAGGATGTTTTCCAGGCAGTCACAGCATGCACATTAAGATTAGCTGTTCCAGGAGAAAGCAAGTGCCTTCATCACTGCAGGAGAGCTCGGGCTGAAACCATTAGGACTGTTTACAAAGCTAAAGCAAACTGATGCCAGTGGGTACCTGTGGGTGGCCCTAGGGTGAACCCGTGTTGTGCTGGTATAAATCTTTCTCTCGCTCTCTTGCTCACATGCAGTGTGGCTACCAGAGGCAGCAGCTTCCTTCTGCCTGGATCTTGCCGGTTGGGCTTGCTCTGGCTGTGTGTGCTTTATCCTCTCGGATGCACTGGCTACAGGCAAACTTACACGCTTATTTATGGACCATAAGGGGTCTGCTCTGTGCACTTGGTACCCAAAGGCTGCGCGCTTGTTGCAGTGCCACAACGCCTCTGCTACTGGCATTTTTGCACAGGTTTGGTGCGGATGTTGATGCTGCAGGTTTGAGACAGATACAAGCTCATCACTATGGCATAGAGCAGGGGTCATCACCTATTGAAATCCTGTGGATGAAATTTGATATAGATGAACGCAAATAAATGTGGCTTGGGAGAAAAGATTTAAAAGGGAGGGCTTTTTCATAGATTGCAGAATAGCAGATCTGTGAAACTCACTGTTTCTAGACATTGTAAAAAAAAAACAACAAAAAAACAAACTTTGTCCCTTTCTGTTTGGGTACCACTTGCAGTTGTTAAAAGCTACATAAAATGAGAAGGGCTCCATAAGGACAAGACATAAGGATTTAAGCAAATCTCTAGTTGGGTTCAGGTGAAATTTATTCCCGTGCATTTATGTAGCAAAATTAAATGATTTGTCAGAAAAGCATGCAACAGCTTTGAAGGTATATAGGATTGGTCAGCACAAGAGAAGTGGTACCAGCATGTATGGATAACTGCCCTGTGCCTGCATACCGTTCTTCCTTGTCTTGGGATATTGGGGATAACAGCCAACAACTTTGTTCATTCCAACAAAAATCCCTTTGGGGAAATATTTATGGTTTTCTCTGCAGGAGCTTTATCTAATCCTTTTAACGTGCTGGGAAGAAAGGGGGGCTGCAAGCATCCTCCAGCTTCTAATTTGCTCAAAAAGCCAATGTTGAGTGATTGAACTGATGACTTCTTAAGCTTGATGATTACTTTTTCATCTGCCTGGGAAATGTAGAACATGTAAAACCTCCTGTTCATACTCTCTGAGGATGTTCATGTCAGTCCCCATAGTGTTTCATCACATCAGCTACTGACTGCCACAGTGGGTGTGGAAATGCAGGACCTGATGGTTGTACTATAGAGAATAGGGATAAGGAGAGGTAGAGGCACACCGTAACTAACAACATAAGCTTTGGGTTGTTTTCTTGATGGGGGATGGATGTCTGTTGTGTCTTCCTTCTTGTTTGGCATCTTTTTATTTCTTTAATTGCCATGTCTCTTCCACTAGATCCTAAATTTGCAGTGAAACTTTGGCTTCCACAAAGTTGTATTACAAATGAATTTATCTGTCATATGTCTGACATCGCAGTGTGTTTCTGTGGAAACACTGTATGGTATAAGAGACTCTGCTATCCTCATTTTCTAAACTGCAAGTCGCATCATTTATATCTCTCTCCTTTTTCTTTCACCCTGTGGAAGATTTTGGCTTTTTGGCAACATAATTTTTTTATACCATCTCCCTTTCATCCCCAGTATATTTTCAGAAATGCTATCTGAAGCCTCATGATATTTACAGCTTGGAAGTTTTAGGTTCTGTTCTCTGGTGTAGGCTGGGCTCCCACACTAGGCTGTGTCCCCCTTGATATGCTACAGCTTGTTGTCTTTGCTTGAGGCTACTTGTTAACTTGCCAACTCAAGATGGGAACCATCTCAGATTCAAAGAACCTGCCCTCCCCAGCCTAAATACTTCAAAAAGCTGGGTTTAAAAGAGCTTTCCTGTAAACATTAGTCATGGGGTATAGAAAATAATGCAAAGAATTACAAAAAAGAAAAGCGCACATAATGTGCTTTTGTCGAATTCATATATTTAAAGGAAACATAATATGGCAATTTAATGCTAAGACATAAAAACCACAAACCAAAATAAAACTCACCAAACCCCAAACACTCGCAAGTGTGGCCAGTCCTCTAGTCATATATTTTGCCCAGCCCGGCCTTCTGGTGTTAAGATGCAAAGAAGCAAGGTGTCATCATGCTTGCAGGTGAGAACTGTGGAATGACCTTGAGTTCACAGCGAGATGAACACCCCTAAAGGCAGAGCCCTTCTTTATCAGCTAAGCACTGTGATTAAACTTCAATAAGACAAATATGGCATTATTTCATCCCAGAGGTGCTTAATTGGTAACCCTTTCTATGGACAGTCTAGCTCCATTTTTTTGTCTGATATTGTTACTCTATTTTACCTGAGGCAGTCCGATATAGTACCTCTGGTTAGCTCTAGTTAGGAAGAAGTTAGGGCATCTTATGAATGACTTTTTGGTTCTCCTTCATTTTACATCTGTCTTTGGCCAACATTAGGCTCTCGTTCCTTGAAGACATCTTAGAGCTTACTACAAGGTCTGCTGAAGTCCATCTGCATTTCGCTGTCTCCTCTATATACCATTGCATACATTTCCTCTTTGTGCTTAGGGTTGGGAAGAGTCAATGGATAGGGTCTGGCCAGTGGCAGGACTTTTAGATGCTCCTCAGAGATATATCCCACTCTGGTGCACCATGAGATTCAGGTGGGTCCCGCATACTGTGAACTACGTAATCTAGTAAGTGAAACTAATGAGAGGTGAAGAAGATCAGGCACCCACAGGACAGCTCCCATGGGACAGTACAGCAGCACTTGCAGATGGAAGATTTGGTTTCCAGCAGAGTTTGGATTGCCAGGTCTTTTGGGTTTATGCCAAAAATAAAATATTCTGTGGAAAGCAGGCTTTTGATGATAGGGGAAATGCTTAGCTCAGTGGGGATTCTTGACATGACTCCCCTGGTGTGCCAATCCAGTTACAAAGAGAGGGGATTTTTGGTGTGCCTCGCTCTCTTTGTTCCTTTTAGAACTCTGGGCTCACACAATCCCATGTGGTCAACCTGCAAGAGCTTTCCCTTGCTGACCTATAAACCAGGCATCCCTGCTTGCCTTGGGCCGGTCCTTACCAGCTCTTAGTGGCACATGGGCTGCATCCTCTCACAGCTGCTACTGTCTGAGGGACAGGGCATTTCTTCTATATCAAGCTTTCTGATAACTTCTGGCTGAAGTTAAAAACCTTCATCTGTATTTAGCCACAGATGAGCCTTTTCAATGCCAGAAAAGCCCATTACGTGTTGCTATATTATTAAGATAGCTGCGTTTTTGCTGGGAGTAAACACTGAGGATGAAGAAAGTTGGGATCTAATGTGAATAGTAGTTGAAGGAAACAACAATGACCTGAACTCTGACTTTGTCTCTGTGCTGGTTGGTGGCCAAGGTGCCAACCGCTTCTACGACAACATTGAGGACATGATTGGTTTCCGGCCATGGCCCTTGATCAAGATATGCTGGCTGGTGGTCACCCCGGGTCTGTGCTTGGTAAGTGCAATTATGACGACATGGTATATTATTCTAAGTCCCTGGGTTCTCGGTAGAAAAGGTTGATTTGTCTTCAAGGTGCCGCTGTAATTTTTTCAAACTGCTATGGAGAAACATAGCTTGGAGAAACAGAAACTTGTCCATAGCTGAGGTGGCAATGTATTTCCTTTGTAAAGCCTTATCTTTTGCCTGGAAAATTAATTGAGCCTGAAAAGCCACTTGTTTACTGTGAAGGCAAAGGGAAATGTATCCTCCAAGTCTGGTGAGGTTTGGTCAAATTACTTTTAAATAGAAGACCAGCGAGATTTACCCTTTTCTGAAATACTTGCTTCAGCCTGTGTTCCTGTGACCTCCTGTGGTTCATAAATATCTTTCCACAGCCATTTGCTTTATATGTTATTAAATGTCTTTCAAAACCTCTGTGACAACTGTGTTTAAAGAAAATACACCCTAAGTCAGGCAAGTTCTTGCCTGTTTTGAGTTTCTGTCCAGTCTTGCTCTACTGACTTTTACATGATTTCTGAATCAAATTCTGCTCCTGCATCTGATGTTGAGAGTTGTTTTCTTTGACCCCAGTGGGAACATAGATGGGATCTACAGCTACAGCTTACAAAAGAGTTCTAGTCCTTTGTTCTCAGGCTTCAGCAGG